TGAGTCATCCAAATTATATATATAACATAAATTAATCTTTAATATAAAATTAATAATTATTGTTATACATAAACGTAGCAATTTTAAAGAAATAATCTTTTTTTTTAATCATTACTATTTTATTTAAAATTATTTTGTATTTTTATGATTAAAATAATTTTTGTGTAATAGGATATTATAATCTAACTTTGGAAGGTGTCAGCGGAACTTTGAATTATACAGGACATGTAATAAACGATACATGGATTATAGAACATTTTCATTGTGTTCCGTCAATTAGAAAGTTTAAATTGTATTATGATGATGTGGTCAAAGAAAAAAAAGCATTCAGTAAGTATAATATTAAACTAATCCCGACGTAACTCCATTTATTGTTGTATGTATTGTCTAATGGAAATTAAATTATGTAGACAAAGATTCATATCTGATTTCCTATTTAACAATAAGTATATACATTTATATATTACGTACAAAATTCTCTTGCTATTTAATAAAAGTTTATCTAGAATAATTAATTAAATATTAATAATCCATAATTTGTATATCTAATTTGCCCATCAAGTAATGAGACTGATTTTTTTCTCATATTTATAGCAATACTGTTATATAATAATGTTATATTAATACCTATTATTAGCCTATTATTACACTGATCATGTTTATCCTTTTTCAATTCCAACTCCAACTAATATAATTATGCATTGTTCAAATTAGAATAACAAAATAATCACTGATTTAAAATAAGATAAAAGTTAAAAGTACATATTTTACAAATTTAAATCATATTTTGTCATCTTTTATCGCAATATTTTTATTGTTGCTATTTTTGCAAATATAAAATCTTATACCAAAATTAATTACAATTACATTTACATATATTGTAATCTTACATTTATCTTTCTAATTGATTTTTTTCTGAAAATTATACATTGTCATTTTATATGTCAATTTTTATTTTTAGCTGATGCAATCATAAATTTTGTAAATGAACACTGGCTAACCTTTTATCCAATAATAGTATCACACGTGATCGATAGAATAGAATTGCCTTGGATCGACTTAGCAAATAAGTTCTACTCGAAAGTGCCCTTCTCAAAAATGTCTCCATAGAAATTTATATATTTATTACATAAGTCAGTAGAATATAAATATCTTATAAAATAAAGAATATTTAGAATTTTAAACGCAAACATATATAGATTACTGCTCTACAATTCTGTATAAGTTAGCATTTGTTTTTAAATTGTTTGAAAATACAATAAAATAAATATATATAATATAATTATTTAAATATATACATATAATATAATATGTTAATTATATATTGTATAATATAATTGTGATGTAAAATTATTTCTCTTCTAATTTTTGAATCTCTAGATACCATAATTAATCCTTAAGATTAATCAGTATCATATCTGCAAAAATGTTTCTTTTAGTTCGAAATAAAGAAAAAATGTTTCAAAAATGTTTGTCATCATTTGTTTTTAACTCTTGTAAATTATCGCTAAAAAATATTACACATATAGCAAGAAAATAATGAAAATAATAATCATTTTTTCTACTTCATGTATTTATATAATGATGAGTCTGTTTTTCTATTACGTAAGAGTTAAATTCATATTAAAATAACAAGTATATTTTTTTTTAATGTGAAACTTAATTAAATTTTAACACAAAAATTATATTAAACTCAACAAATTTAATTCTATTTATATATTAATTACTTCTCAGCTTTTGAAATTTACGGTTTTCTACATAAAAATAATAATTTATACAGAATTCTATAATAAATTATATAAATTTACTTCATCTTTAATATTAACAATACGACACACAAATAAATTATTAAACAATTGTTTTCTCTTTATGCACACAAATATATAAACACATTAACAACAGCATATAAATAGCAAAGAACATTTGCATAAAAAAAGATTAAGATTTTGATATAAATCTTGATATAATCTTTTTATGTTTTATTTTTTATATATCTAGCTTTATCTAATCTTACGATTTATATGTGATACTAAAACTCTTAAATAATGTAAATTAAAATTATATATACATTAAAACTTCGTAATAGAGTGCGCATCTGAACGAATTTATGCATCTTTTACTTCTAAACTATGTAATTCAAGACCGTATTGGTCACGATTCTACTGCTATCTCCACTACTCACACTACTCAAATATATATATCCAAGTAGCACACAGTGCTTACAAAGCGTTAACAAAACACTAAAATACGCATATAATCATTTTTTTAACGCTTTGCAAGTGCTGCTGTGCTACTTGGATAAAAGGGATTTATATAACGCTTCAAGATTTTTAAGATTCATTATTACGAGATTTCAGTGTAACTCAGTTCGCAGAATCAATTGCATTATTTGCAGATGTACTATACAGAAAAAATGTTTTTCTATCTGTTTAGTCTATTCAACATTGCAATGGTTGGATTATCCTCGGGAGAAATTGAACTTCGTGAGGTTTTTAAAAAAAATTCTTCAGTGCACATGTATCTTTTAAAGAAAATATTACGGAATTACTATACATTAACTTGAATATATTAATTATTTTAGTCACATAAATCTTGTTCACTATACAAAATCACTATTATGGTAACATAATAATTTCAAACATGAAATTATCGTATAGGAAAGTCCAGGCAAAGTGGATATGTTAAGGTTCTTTGGAAAGGGAAATGACATAGTTAAGATGACATAGTTAAGATCAGAAACCTTTTTTATTCTCATAATTTTTGTTAGGAATCAACTTTGAAATAAAATAAAATAGAATTATAAAATTTGAACATTTAAATATTTTTTTAATCAAAACGTAAATAAAGAGAAATCATCCGCTTTATCTGATCCCCCTGGACAAGCGTATCAGTTTCTCGAGCAATGAGAATGGAATAAAAAGAATCAAAATTAATCTTAGCAATCGTCACAAAGTTAGTAGCTGCCAAATCTTCTATATATAGTGCAACCTTCATGAGTTCATTTAGAGCACTGAATCTAGCCTTCGGACAATGGATCGGCATTCTTCAAAACACATATCATACTGCGTTGTAGAAAAAAACAAAAATGAGATGTAAATAATCATGTGCCTTTCGTTCACTCGAAAGATAGTCTGTCCCTTCGTTTTCCCGGTATTTTCAATGTAATACTGGGTAAAGAAGGATGGGCCATTCGCTTTGCTCTTATCCACTTTGCCCAAAAAAGAAGAACCTACTTGGCGCAAATTTGGAAAAGTTAGAATAAGTTTAAGCAACAAATGCAAAATTTTACATCACTCACACATTTAAAATCAGAGAATTTTTATAAAAAATCATTCACACTAGTTATATAAGAGAGAAACAGTTAGAAACTACTAATAATTAAACTACGTACCAAAAATCGCAAGAAAACACACAATTTTTTTGATTTCTCTATCAAACACAAACGAGCGCAATCACATATTGTTTCGCATTTTCATGGCGTCGCCGACCGATCATTCCTTTAACAGTTAGAGACTCATAGCACTATCATCGATAGATAAGCAAAAATACAAAATATTTGCTTTGACCAGAGCATTTGCCTTTGCCTGGACTTCCCCTATCTTTAACGAATATACACGATATTTCATAAATGCATGTCAATACTTTAGGAGGTAAATCTATACATTAAAATTACTTACAAATGTAAATAAATATTTGTAAGTAATTTTAATGTATAGATATATATTATTTTACAATTTTTAAATGTTTTAAGATATTATTTATATATTTCTTTTTAATTACTGTTATAAATACTATAACGTTTTATTTAAATTAACTATTCTTACTAATTATTTACTATTTATTTAAATACTATTATAAAAAGTATTTCATGTTATAATATATCTTTATTATAATTTTTGCACAAGACCATGTAAATGCAACAGCACATAACGTTAGAAAATGTGTGATTTAATAGAACACGTAATAAACAATAAATGGATTGTAGAACATTTCCGTCAATTGGAAGGCTTAAAGTATATTTTGATAATTTGTTCGAAAGCAACAAAGAATTCAGTAAATACTAAACTAATTTAGATACAACTCTGTTGTGGTATTTTACTTGTCAGAGTATGCATTTAATTATCTAAATAAAGACTATATCTGTTATAACCCCATTTGCTATTTCTAATTTACTGCTTACTTGTAAATATATGTAAATTTCATTATTTTAATAAAAATTTGTCTAGAATTATCAATTAAATACTAATCAATTTGTATATATTTGCATATATACAGATTATCTGATAAAATAAGGTTATCTAATAAATATAATATACAGAAAAAGAGGCAGTTCAACGCACCAATTGAATTCTAACAGTTGCCAATGTGTACGTGCGTGCGTGCGTGCGTGCGTGCGTGCGTGCGTGCGTGCGTGCGTG